AAGGGTGTTTGGTTATGAGATATGTGGTTATTAGTTATAAGATATGTGATATTGGTTATGATCAAAGTGATGTGGTTATGAGCAAAAGGGTGTTGATTATGAGATATGTAATGTTGGTTATGAGTCAAAGGGGGATTGGTTATAAGATGTGGTTATGAGCTATAAGAGTAGTAGTTACGAGATATGCGATTAATGTTATGAGATATGTGATATTGGTTATGATCAAAGTGGTGTGATTATGAGCTAAAGGATATTGGTTATGAGATGTAGTTATGAGATATGTGATTGTAGTTATGAAATATATGATATTGGTTATCAACAAAATGGTGCTGGTTATGAGATATGGTTATGAGATAAGTGATGAGAGCTCATAACTAAGTTATGATTAATTTGATTCTAGTTATAAACAAATATGATTTTGGCTCATAACTATAAAAAGTGACCTGCTTACCAGGTCACTTTTAATGATGTGGCTCAATCTGAGCCATTGATTTTCGATGTACCATACATTTTTTAAACAAAATGTACTATAGATTTTCCCTTGTCTCCATACCCATTTCCCTGGCCCCGAAAGATGATTCCCAAATCTGGCACTTGGAGTCAAACGGCATATACTCGGTCAAATCAGGGTATCACTGTTCTCCTGATCAGCATCTTAAAGCCCTTAACAAACCCTCATCTTCCTTTCAATCCCCTAACAATTTCTGGAATCTTATTTGGGCTTTGAAGGTACCCCTCAAGCTTCGGCACTTTTGGTGGAGGGTGTGCAACAATGCCTTGGCTACCAAAGCAAACCTATGGAAGCGCCATTGTACCCCATCTCCCTTATGTCCTCTTTGCCTGAAGGCCCCCGAAACTGTTGAGCATTTATTGTTCGGATATGAGTGGGTTGCTCCAGTCTGGTTTGGGAGTGACCTGAATCATAGAGTTGATTGGAAGGACATTCACTCTGCCTTGAGGTGGTCCAGTGAGCTTATGCTTCAGTTCAAGCATGGGGAAGACAGGGATTTTTCAGTAAAATTGTGTGGATTGGTTGTTTCATCTGGAAGACTCGAAATGATTTCGTATTTAATCACCAAATGGTGGAGCCCTCCTTGACTTTACATCGAGCTCGAGTGGCTGAGCTGGAATTTTCTGAAGCTTTTAATTGTGATGTAGCTACAATAGAACATCCCAATCTTGCTGCTGTGACTGTTGTTCTTCGGGACTCACCAGGGAGACTGCTCGATGGCTTGGCAAAGAGAGTCCATGTGTCTTCCCCTCTCCAAGGAGAAGCTCTAGCGTGTCGGTTGGCTTGCCTCCTCGCCATAGCTTGCAATCTATTTGAAGTGGAAATTGAAGGGGATAATCGAAGGGTCATCCTGCTCAGTGTCTTAGAATCGGTTCCTCCATGGGTGTGTGAGGCTGTTATTCGCGATATCAGATGCATGACTTCACAAGGCAGGTTCAAACTTGCTTGGTGACCCAGATCAGCCAATTCAGTGGCCCACTGGGTGGCAAAAGCCTTTCTTCGGAATCTGCTGCCCATCGACTGGGTTTCCAACCCTCCACTTGACCTTGCTAATCTCTGTGGGGCTTCTGCACCATTTCCTTGATGTCTGTTTCCTTATTTTCACAAGTTCAAAAAAAAAACAAAAAAACATTGTGCCGTCTCAAAAAAGCAGAGTATTTGCGACGGCACCATTTGCCGTCTCAAAAAAGCAGATCATTTGCGACGGCACTATTTGCCGTCTCAAAAAATGAGAGTATTTGCGACGGCATTGCCGTCTCAAAAAAGCAGAGTATTTGCGACGGCACCATTTGCCGTCTCAAAAAAGCAGAGCATTTGCGACGGCATTATTTGCCGTCTCAAAAAATGAGAGTATACTCTGCTTTTTTGAGACGGCATTTTCTGCCGTCACAAAAAGTGGCTTTCGTGTTTTTTTTTTAATGAATATTTTTAAAATTTTAAATATTTTTTTTAGATGTACCTTACTTAGATGTATCTAAAAAATAAAAAATTTATGAAAAAATATTTTTAAAAATTAATAAATACATAAAAATACAAAAAAAAAATGTATTGAATTATGGTTTTTTTTTTTGTATTTTTGGTATTTAGTGAATTTTTAAAAGATTTTAGTGATTGTGGTTTTGAGATAGTTTCATATATATACAGTCACAAAATGATTTGAATAAATTCAACGGTATTTTTCTGTCGCAAAAAAAAAATATGAATAATAATGCACCAAAGATAAAAGTTTGGACAGCAAAAGAATATTTTTCAGACTGTTTGTCTCTCTGTCTCTATCTCTCTCTCTTCTCTTTATCTCTTTTCATTCATTTCTCTTTATCTCTATCTCTCTCTCTTTCTATGTCTACCTGTTTCTCTCTCTCTCTCATTTTCTCTCTGTGTCTCTCACCTATCTCTCTTCTCTCTATCTCTCTCATCTGTTTTCTCTCTCTGTCTCTCTCGCTCATCTATCTCTTTCATTTTTTTTTTCTCTCTCTCTCTTATCTTTCTATCTCTCTCTCTATCTCTCTTGCTCATTTCTCTTCTCTTTCTGTCTCTCTCTTTTTCTGTGTCTCTCTCTCTCGCTCATCTCTTTTCATTCTATTTCTCTCTTTTTTTTGTCTATCTCTCGCTCATCTCTTGTTTCTCTCTCTTTTTCTATCTTTCCATCTATCTTTCTTTCTCTCTCTATCTCTTTTTCTGTCTATCTCTCTCTCCTTCTCTCTTTCTCACTCATCACTCTTCTTTCTCTCTCTGTGTCTACTTGTCCATTTGTCTATTTCTCCTTTACTATCTTGTCTATTTGTCTATTTCTCTCTCACTATGTTCGGCTTGCTCACTCTCTTACTCCTATCTTCTCTATTTATCGAGCTCCTTCTCGATTTATCGATCCACTATAAGAAAATACACTTTTGACAACCACTTTGTCTATCTTTCTCTCGCTCATCACTCTATCTCTATGTCTCTCTCTCTCTCTCTCTCTCTATCTCTCTTCTTTATCTGTCTCTCACAAAATTAAAATATTTTTAAAATATTTAAATATTTAAAAATTTTAAAAAATTGATTTGAATTAAGTTTTGAACAGAGTTTTGAATTATCTGTCTTCTTTATTTATTGGGCTCCCTATCGATTTATCGATCCACTACAAGAAAATGCACTTTTAGCGACCACTTTGTCTCTTTCTCGCTCATCACTCTGTCTCTCTATCTCTTTTCTCTATTCGTCTCTCACTCATCTTTCTCTCTTACTACCCATCTTCTCTACTACATTTACCACTACTGCAAATGCCATTCAACTACCACCACTCTTCTCTTTCTCTCTTTCACTCATCACTCTTATTTCTCTGTCTGTTTGTCTGTGTGTCTTTCGTTCATCTTTCTTCTCTCTATCTCTCTCATTTGTCTTCTCTCTATGTCTCCCTCGCTCATCTCTCTTCTCTCTATCTCTCTCATCTCTTTTCTCTCTCTGTCTCTCTCGCTCATATCTTTTCTCTCTATCTCTCTATTTTTCTATTCTCTTTATCGTTCATCTCTTTTCGCTCTCTTTCTATATGTCTCTCTCATCTCTTGTTTATCTCTATTTTTCTATATGTCTCTCTCTATCGATTTCTCTCTCTGCCTCTCTATCTCTCTATATATCTCTTTCTCTCTTTATCTCTCTCGCGCTCATCACTCTGTCTTTCTCTCTCTTCTCTATCTGTCTCTCATTCATTTCTCTCTTTCACCACCCATCTCCTCTATCACCTTCACCACTACTGCAAACACCATTCCACCACCACCATTACTTCTACTATAGCCACTTCACCTCTACCACTACCATTACTACTACTATCGCCACCACTCCACTACCACCACTACCACTACTACTAACATTACCTCTCTTTCACCCCTGCTACTCCATTTACACTACCACTACCACAACTTCACCACTAATCTGTTTCGCCATCACCATCACCACCACCACCACCACCACCACTACCATCTCTTATCCACCACCTTCACTACTGCTGCCACTCATTTTCCTCTACCACAAAAAATTAGTTCATAATTTTTAGTAATAAAAAAAATTAGTATGTTTAATGTTTACTAAAAATAATTAAAATATTAAAGATATGTTTAATATTGCTGTTACTTAGTAAACAATTGAAAAAGGGTAAAATAGTCTTTTGTTCATTTATCCTATCCAGTCCGTCCAACCAAACGTTGGATTCACTGAAAATAGTCCTATCCAGACATCTAATCCCATGAAAAAACAAACACAGGATACATATCCAATCCGACCAAATAGTCCGGGGGATTCACAGTCTTAGGACTCAAGTCCGATGGATTCTAATCCCCCCTTTTCCAGTCCGTCCAATCAAACACACCCTGTTTGTTTTCATAGATGAAAGGTGGGATTGGACTAACAGTGAGGAGGGACTCACAATATCATGTTTGTTTTGAAAATTTGCCATGGGATTAATAGTCCCATGGGACTATGAAACCACTCTCCAAAGAGGGGCCTAGGGCACTTGTCTACATGTTTTATATCTTCATCACACCATAACCTAGTGCGCTTTCCAGGCTCTTTAGGTGATTGATGGAAAATAATATAGCACCCTAGTTCTTGTATCAAATCATGCATCACTACAACAAAAGAGGTCTATGGTGACGAAAACACATGACGAAAAAATATTTCGTCTCCAAATATACATGTTTTGGTGATGACAATAAGATTTTGTCTCCAATGGTACTATTTTTAGAGACGAAAACAAAATTTCATCACCAAATGTTTAAAATAAAAAAAAATAATAGGTGGCAAAAATTTTTTTCGTCTCTAAATTTTATTTTTCATTGCAAAACAGATTCTTGCCCTTGGAAATTTTGGTAGAAAATTTGGGCACCATATTAGAGACGAAAAATTTCGTCACCATTGTAAAAAAATTTCAGAGACAAATAGAAATTCGTCACCTATAATTTAAGGGGACAAAACGACGTCGTTTTGTCTTCCCAAATCAGTCTACCCAAATCACTCCTCTCTCGCACTCTTTCTCTTACTCTCACACAGTCTCGTCTCTCTCTCTAGTCTGAACTCGTGAAACCCTCTCACTGATTTCTTCCTTGCCCTCTCACATGCACACGAGCACTACCGGAAACCCCCTCTCTCCGTTCGAATCACACCACCGGAAGCCCTCTCTCTCCGTTCGAATCGCACCACCGGAAGCCCTCTCTCTCTGTTCGAATTGCACCACTGGAAGCCCTCTTCTCTGTTCATTTTGCTTCACTGATGTGACACCACCGGAAGCCCTAATCTCCGTCCATTTCATACTAGGTATCTTCTTTTCTATATATATATATGTACATATATATGTGTTCTCATTGTTTTGGTTTGTGAATTTGTATGCCCTTTCTTTGGTAGAAATCTATATATATATGTGTGTATAAATCTATATTCTATAATAGAAACTTGATGTATCACATCTGTACGGGCAATAATATCAATAAAAAGTATAAAATATGGTATTTAGGATTTGGTGGGTGTATCAAGCTGCTACATGTTTCTTTCTAATATGTTGTTTCTTAAATTGAGTATCTATTCACCAGAACAACAACAAATGGTCTCAGTGGATAATTGCATATTTCTTGTCTAATTTTATCAGATTGTTGGTGTCAATGTGGGTAATGGGGTGCATGTGCATTTCTGGGAGGATGTTGGAAGGGGCAAGGATTATTTTGTTCATTGTTCTTTGGTTTGCATTGCTTGTCTCTGTCTCATCAGGTGTCTATTTGCCTCTATGGTTTCATCCTATATGTCTCTGTTGGAATTTGAATTTCTTTAGAAATCTTAATGACAAAGAGGCAAATGAGTTAGCATTCTTGTTGTCCATTCTTTATGAGGTTTCTTTGAGGCATTTGGTCATGAGATTTTTGCCCATACACGTATTTGTGTGTGGTCTCTAGAATATGGCATCTAATGTGTTCAAATTTTAATAATTTTTGTGTACTAGTATATACATTGCTTCAATTAAGCATGGTATTATTGTCTGCAATTTGTTTATAATGAGCATACCAAAGCTTGTCTTCAATTTAGTCTGAATTGTTTGTGCATTTTGGTCTATGATAAAAACTCATTTAGGCGACAAATTTTTGCAAATGTTTGGGAAAATGTTTAGCTTAATATATATCTTGATGATTTCAAATAGCTATAATTGCGGAGTTATTTCATTCAAATCCATTCATTTGAAACTATAATAACATTATTTAACTAATCCAAAAGATAGTATCTGTTGATGCGAATATCACAGAGAGATTATAATTTAGTGATGGACTTTTTTGAGGTACTGATTTGTGGTGGTTTGTTAGCAGATGCCAATCTTTCAAATCAGATTCAATCCTATCCCCCTTTTTTTGTTGTAAAAAGGTATAAAATACATATAATGGAATTGTCAAAATCTCTCTCTCTCTCTCTCTCCATTGACATTAGTGACCTTAATTTTGATATTTGAGTACATATCCTAGGAAGAATTGGCCTGTGGAATTCATTTCTTTGTCTACATCAGTAAAATACCATGAGCTGTTCGGGAGGAGGATTTGAACCCTTCTTCAAGAAAATAATCACCGTCAAACAATTTTCTAAGGAAGCAATCACTGTCAAGAATGTTCTAAGCTATTAAATTTCCACAAATATCCCACTCGGTTTTGGCATTTACATCACATTATTACTTGCTCCATGTCATCATAGACTTCATGTTTCCCTGCATCAAAGAAAAAATGAAAAAATTAAAAACTAAATGTGCAACCACCTTATATTCTGCTTTCGACCATTCAAAACCTTAAAAACAAAGTCAAGGTCTTTCTTTACTATGTTGACATTTTTTATTTAATTATTATTATTATTTTTTTTATAGTCCTACTCCTACAAATAGGTTTCTAACATTAATCCTAGGTTGAGGGAACATATAGTTCAATTCGATCATTTTCGCTGCCATAGAGGTGAAGGTAAGGCCTAGTTTTTAGTGAAATTTCGCTATTATTCATTCTAGTTCTTTCAAATTCATGGCTCTTGTTCTTTGCATTTCTATGCAAAAAATAGAGGTGAAAGTCAACATTCACTGCCATAAGTGCAAAAGCAATATATTGAAGTCGTCACTAAACTTCAAGGTATGAAGAATGGGTTGACAAGTTTGCCGAAATTTACTATGTTTTGAACTATGACATGTGTAAAATGATGCTATATATATTTTGAATGAACATGCATTGATTAGACATCGGTGGATAGTGAGAAGGGAAAACTAACCGTTATTGGGAATGTTGATCCTGTTTTAGTTGCAACCCAAGTGAGGAAGACCAGAAAGGTAGCAGATCTCATTGGTGTTGGTCCACCGAAGGCTAAAGAGAAAAGGCCCGACCCCCCTAAGTTTGAACCCGCTAAATGTATACCTGACCATTGTAATGAATGCTAGCTTGTAGTTGTCAACTATGCTATTCCCTATGACAACAATCCATTTTGCTCTATCTTGTGAGGGATTATAGCATCTAATGTGTCAAATTTTATTGATATACATTGATTCAATTATGCATAATATTGTCTGCATTGTTGCAGTCCCCTCACCAACATTCTCTATTTTCTTTCTTTGTTGCCATATAGTCCTCTAGAGATTATCTGAATTCTTTGTATGTAGGTCATGAATAGAGAGGATTAAATACCAAATGGGATTGGCACATACTGTTGGTACTAATGCTCTAGACCAGTTTAAATGTATTGGTTTATATATTTTTCCAACATTACCATGTCTCTGCAGCTCATTTGGTTCTTTTTGATCTTTTGCCAGGTGTTTGGCTCCACGATCATGGATTTCAAGGTCTCAAGTGAACATGATGAGATCCAAAGTCATTTGGAAATTGTTCTTCGTAAATAGTTGAGTCCATGCATTTAATGCTTGGGGTAATGTTCACTCAATTTTTTTCTCCATTGAATTACTTAATTGGTCTCATAATTACCTTTCCTTCATTTAATGCTCTTGGTAATGTTCACTCAATTGTTCTATGTTTTTATGATGAATCTCTTGATCCTCTAGAACCTGCAATTTGTGTCTTATTTTTCACAATTAATTAATTTATTGACATAAATTGAGTCCGGTCTATTGATTTATTTGCTCTATTTGGCTGTAGAAATAAATTTTTATTGAGGTGTTTGTTCAATTGTAGCATGGTTATCCTTTTAATAGGTTGGTGGTCTGGTGACATTGCAGAGAATTGCACTGGTTTTCTTCATCTCTCATTGTGGATCCACACAAGCACCATGTATACATGTAGGGCCTACTGCACACGTTTCATTATTTTCTAGGTTGGTAAGTCATACATGTACACATGTCATTTTTTTCTTTTAGAAAATGGTTGTGGAATACTATTCTTCAATTTTCATACTAATTTCCTCTTTAGGTCCATTATTTGTTTTGATGATATCAAATTTCATTCTCTCATGGGCTATGTATGGTTCCAGTTGTGTAGAAGATTAAGTTAATCATTCCATATTTGAGGATAATTCGATGCGAGCTCAACTCCTCTTTTAGCATCCTTGGAAACCAAAATCATTACAAGGTTCAATTATATGAAATGCATCTTCTGCACCATTATATTATTAATTGTTATTATTTTTTAGATATTTTACAATCATTTTGAAATATACTATTTCGAATTCAGCAATATTACCAGGTAGAAATTACAAATGGTTTTTAGATTGGCTTTTAGGACACAGGGCTAACATGTGATTCATAGTTCATAATAACGAAGAATACTTTTCACACTTAAGCTTGAAAATAGGCCATCGGGGGCCAAAATTGTGCAACAGCCACGAGATGGCCTGGGCAACACCTCAAAAACCTCTGGAGGGACCAATGTAAGTTGTGAAAACTTACGGAACTAGCACGGGACTTCCGATTTGAAAACTAAGTCGAAAAAGACACATTTTCACACTTAAACTTCAAAATAGGCAATCGGGGGCCAAAATCGTGCAACATCCATGAGACGGCCTAGGGAACACCTCAAACACCTCAGGAGGGACAAATATAAGTTGTGGAAACTTACGGAACTAGCACGGGACTCCCGGTTTAAAAATTAAGTCTAAAAATGTACTTTTTCACATTTAAGCTTGAAAATAGGCCATCGGAGGCCAAAATCGTGTAACAGCCACGAGACGGCTCGAGGAACACCTCAGACACCTCGTGAGGGACCAATGTGAGTTGTGAAAACTTACGGAACTAGCACGAGACTCCCGGATTGAAAACTAAGTCTAAAAATGTATTTTTTCACACTTAAGCTTGAAAATAAGCTACCGAAGCCAAAATCGTGTAACAGCCACGAGACGGCCTGAGAAACACATCAAACACCTCGGGAGGGACCAATGTGAGTTGTGAAAACTTACGGAACTAGCACGGGACTCTCGGATTGAAAACTAAATCCAAAAATGCACTTTTTTACACTTAAGCTTGAAAATAGGCCATCGGAAGGCTAAATCGTGTAACAGTCACGAGAAGACCTGGGCAACACCCCAAACACCTCAGGAGGGACTAAAGTAAGTTGTGGAAATTTACGGAACTAGCACGGGACTCCCGGTTTGAAAACTAAGTCAAAAATTGCATTTTTTCACACTTAAGCTTCAAAATAGGCTACCGGAGGCCAAAATCGTGCAACAGCCATGAGACGGCCTGGGGAACACCTCAAACACCTCGGGAGGGACCAATGTGTGTTGTGGAAACTTTCAGAACTAGCACAGAACTCCCGGTTTGAAAACTAGGTTGAAAAATGTAATTTTTCACACTTAAGCTTGAAAAGTAAGCCATCGGTGGTTAAAATCGTGAAACAACCATGAGACGGCCTAGGGAACACGTCAAACACCTCGGGAGGGATCAATTTGAGTTGTGGAAACTTACGGAACTAGCACGGGACTCCCGGTTTGAAAACTATGTCAAAAAATACACTATTTCACACTTAAGCTTGAAAATAGGCCATTGGAGGCCAAATTCATTTAATAGCCACAAGACAGCCCAAGAAACATCTCAAACACCTCGGGAGGGACCAATGTGAGTTGTGGAAACTTATGGAACTAGCACGGGACTCCCGGTTTGAAAACTAAGTCCAAAAATGCACTTTTTTACACTTAAGCTTGAAAAATAGGCAATCGGAGGCCAAAATCGTACAATAGCCATGAGACGGCCCGGGAAACACCTCAAACATCTCGGGAGGGACCAATGTGAGTTGTGGAAACTTACAGAACTAGCACGGGACTCCCGGTTTGAAAATTAAGTCCAAAAATGCAATTTTTCACACTTAAGCCTTAAAATAGGCCTTCAGGGGCCAAAATTGTGCAACAGCTACGAGACGGCCTGGGAAACACCTCAAACACCTCAGGACGGACCAATGTAAGTTGTGAAAACTTACGGAACTAGCACGAGACTCCCGGATTGAAAACTAATTCCAAAAATGTATTTTTTCACACTTAAGCTTGAAAAATAGGCCATCGGAGGCCAAAATCGTGCAACAGCCATGGGATGGCCCGGGAAACACCTCAAACACCTCGGGATAGAAAAATTTGAGTTATGGAAACTTATGGAACTAATACGGGACTCTCGGTTCAAAAACTAAGTCCAAAAATGCATTTTTAGCGACAATTAAGCTTAAAAAATAGGCCATAGGAGGCCAAAATCGTGTAACAGCCACAAGACGGCCGGGGTGACCCTTCAAACACCTCGGGAGGGACCAATGTGAGTTGTGAAAACTTACAGAACTAGCATGGGACTCCCGGTTTGAAAACTAAGTAAAAAAATATACTTTTTCACACTTAAGCTTGAAAATAGGCCACTGGAGGCCAAAATTGTGCAACAACCACGAGACGGCCCGGGGAACACCTTAAACACCTCCGGAGGGACTAATGTGAGTTGTGGAAACTTACGGAACTGGCACGGGACTCCCGGTTTGAAAACTAAGTTCAAAAATGCATTTTTTCACACTTCAGCTTGAAAATAGGCCTTCGGGGGCCAAAATTGTGCAACAGCCACGAGACGGCCCGGGAAACACCTCAAACACCTCGGGAGGGACCAATGTGAGTTGTGAAAACTTTTGGAACTAGCACGGAACTCCCGGTTTGAAAACTAAGTTGAAAAATGTAATTTTTCACACTTAAGCTTGAAAAGTAAGCCATTGGAGGTTAAAATCATGCAACAACCACGAGATGGCCCAGGGAACATGTCAAACACCTCGGGAGGGACCAATGTGAGTTGTGGAAACTTACAGAACTAGCACGGGACTCCCGGTTTGAAAACTAAGTCAAAAAATACACTTTTTCACACTTAAGCTTGAAAATAGGCCATTAGAGGCCAAAATCGTGCAACAGCTAGGAGACGGCCCGGGGAACTCCTCAAACACCTTGAGAGGGACCAATGTGAGTGGTGAAAACTTACGGAACTGGCATGGGACTCCCGGTTTGAAAACGAAGTCCCAAAATGTACTTTTTCACACTTAAGCTTGAAAATAGGCCTTCGAGGGCGAAAATTGTGCAACAGCCACGAGGCGGCCCAGGAAACACCTCAAGCACCTCAGGACGGACCAATGTGAGTTATGGAAACTTACGGAACTAGCACGGGACTCCCGGATTGAAAACTAATTCCAAAAATGTACTTTTTCACACTTAAGCTTGAAAAATAGGCCATCGGAGGCCAAAATCGTGCAACAGTCGCGAGACGGCCTGGGGAACACCTCAAACACCTCGAGATGGACAAATGTGAGTTGTGGAAACTTACAGAACTAGCACGGGACTCCCGATTCGAAAACTAAGTCCAAAAATACACTTTCAGCGACAATTAAGCTTGAAAAATAGGCCATCGGAGGCCAAAATTGTGTAACAGCCATGAGACGGCCTAGGTAACACCTCAAACACCTCGGGAGGGACCAATGCGAGTTGTGGAGACTTTCGGAACTAGCACGGAACTCCCGGTTTGAAAACTAAGTCAAAAAATGTAATTTTTCACACTTAAGCTTGAAAAGTAAGCCATCAGAGGTTAAAATCGTGCAACAACCATGAGACGGCCTGGGGAACACGTCAAACACCTCGGGAGGGACCAATGTGAGTTGTGGAAACTTACAGAACTAGCACGGGACTCCCGGTTTGAAAACTAAGTCCAAAATTGAATTTTTTCACACTTGAGCTTCAAAATAAGCCATCGGAGGCCAAAATCATGCAACAGCCATGAGACGGCCTGGGGAACACCTCAAACACCTTGAGAGGGACCAATGTGATTGTTGGAAAATTCGAAACTAACATGGAACTCCCGGTTTGAAAACTAAGTCGAAAAATGTAATTTTTCACACTTAAGCTTGAAAAGTAAGCCATCGGAGGTTAAAATCGTGCAACAACCACGAGACGGCCTGGGGAACATGTCAAACACCTCGGGAGGGGCCAATGTGAGTTGTGGAAACTTACGGAACTAGCACGGGACTCCCGGTTTGAAAACTAAGTCAAAAATGTACTTTTTCACACTTAAGCTTGAAAATAGGTCATTAGAAGCCAAAATCGTGCAACAGTCACGAGACGGCCTGGGGAACACCTCAAACACCTCGAGAGGGACCAATGTGAGTTGTGAAAACTTACGGAACTAGCACGGGACTTCCAGTTTGAAAACTAATTCGAAAAATGCATGTTAAATTGTATATTTTATGGATAAGATAATAATTGTCTAACTTGCATTTTTTTTTTTTGAGTTTCATTTTTTTGCAGATTCGAGATTTCATATGGACATGTTTGGTAATTTGGAGGGCAAATGCTAGCTCATTTTGTGTTTTTGTTCATATTACCTTATATGTATTTTGGTTGTGTTGTAAATTTTATATTTTTGTTGGTATTACGGGGCATGTTTGGTAATCCGCCCCTGATATTTTATTTTTGTTGATATTAGTAGACATGTTTTTTGTTGGATATTAGGAGATGTGTTTGGTAATCTACATGCAGTTGATATTATATTTTTGTGGATATTAGTAGACGTTTTTTTGTGGATATTAGGAGACATGTTTATAATTCGCATGCAGTTCATATTGTTTTTTTGTGGATAGTGCTGAAATTCGATTGTGATGTTTATGAAAATGAACAGATTTTAATATTGATTTGTAATAGATATTTTATTGAACAGGTTATTGAAATGCGCAGGGAATTGTTACTGAAAAGAAAAAAAATTGGAAGAAAATAGTACCCCCATTTTCAAATTTTTTAATTTTTATTAGTGACGAAATAAAAAATATCGCTATTAGTTTTCAAAAAACGTGACGAATAATTGTCACTAATGATATAGTACGAAACAAATAATTTCGTCACATTTGCTGAATATTTTGTCACTAAATTGAAATATTTGGTGACAATGTTTTTTGTCATTGAATAATTTTCTTTTTTGTTCATTTTAGTGACGAATTTTTTTGTCACCTTAATCCATGTTATTGGTGAGGAAAACTTTCGTCACTAAAATATATTTGGTGACGAAATATTTCGTCGCCAAAAACATTAAAATAAAATATTATTTAGTTTTGGTAACGAAATTGATGTTTTAGAAGACGAAAAATTCAACATTTGGAGACGAAACATTTCGTCGCCAAAAATGAAAAATAGGCGACGAAACTGTTTTTCGTCACCAGGTACTTTCAGCGACGATGTTTAGGCCACAAACGTGGTGACAAATTTTTTTCGTTGCAGATCACTTTAGTGACGAAATTTTGATGTTTGGAGACAAAATCAATCTGTCACCAAAGGCCTTTTTTGTTGTAGTGAAAGAAAATCATCCTCCATCTTGTTTCGCAATCTAGTCTTTACAATTTTCATGGCTGAAAGTGCATGTTCTGTTGTTGTCGTAGAAACTGGCAAAGTTAGAACAAGACAAATTAATCTATCTACAAGACGATAAATTGTTGACTTCCTTGTTGTTACCAACATTTGGCACAAGTCAGAAATTGTCAACAACTGTCGAAACTTAGGATGTTTAAGGATGTCAGTCTCGTAGTTTTGCAATTGGAATTTCAAATGTATTTTTTCTTACTCTAGTCATTAGGATAAAATTAATTTATTTTTTTCGTTGCAGATCACTTTAGTGACGAAATTTTGATGTTTGGAGACAAAATCAATCTGTCACCAAAGGCCTTTTTTGTTGTAGTGCATCAACAGCTTATTTCCAGAGATAGTTATAAGAGACTTTTTAACTAGAACATCGATTCCAATAATTGGGTGGAAGCCACAACTTTCTAGTATTTTGGTTACATCATTTTTGTCCATCCCTTTGAAAAAGCAAACAATATCTAAGAATATTTCCTACTTTTGCCATTCCAATGCATCGTTACTTATTCTAAGTACTTCTTGAACTTCCTTCATAGGGCTTTCTTTTAGTCTTTTTAATGAACTTTCCCATTCATCTTTGTTTTGATCACAAAGGAAAGAACATAAAACTTTGAGAGCTAAAGGAACTCCTTTAGTGTACTTTACTGCACGACATACAAGCACTCCATAGCCTCTTATTTGTTAGTGTTTTTAGAAGGCTTTTAATTCCAAGAGTTTTGTAGCTTCATCTTCTCTTAATTCCTCAACCTTATAAATATGTGTTATGCCATATCTAGTTAACAAATGTTGATTTTGAGTGGTTATAATGATTCTACTTCCAAAACCGAACCAATCGTGCTCTCATACCAATTTTTCGAGTTTAGTTGATTCATCCAAATCATCCAGCACGATAAGAACTTTTTTACGACATACCATGTTCTTTATCATATGTATTGTACGACCATCACTTCCTACTTTCAAATCATTTTCCATTAAGATTTCATAAATTAGTTGTTCTTGCAAAGTTTTTAATCCACATTTTTTCTGAACTTCTCTAACATTCTCAATAAAACTGCAACCTAGGCAAGAGATACAATCATAAACAACTCCGGAAATAGTTGTCTTACCTATTCCACCCATCCCTACAACACGATCATCATCCATCCCTAAACATAGCAATTTAATCACTTCCTTCATACGAGAATCCATCCCAACTTGATCTTCTCCAATGCTTGAATATGTATGATTTAATTTTTTAAAAAGTATCCCGACAACTTCTTGGATGAACATTGATTCAGACTTGCAAATTTAGGAGAATAGTTGTAAATTTATTCATCAAAACTCAAAAGAGCTGTAAGAAGGAAAAATGTCAATAATTTGGTCAAATGTGATTAATTTTACTCATTGCAATTGAAATATTTCTTAATAGAAAGTATATTCAATGGGAGAAGAAGATAATTTTATTGAAAAAAAGAAGAAAAAAAAGAAGAAGTGCAAGTTACCTAATGATGGTATTACTGGGATAAGGCCATCCTGATAAATTAGAGACTTGCTCCAAAGCATCCTCTGTTAGATAATGTCTCAATGGGACCACATAATTAAATGTGGTGTTATCATTTATAAGAAGCCTACAATTTAAGTGATTCAATTTAGTTAATAGGCTTAAGGGTATATGTGTTATGGACCTAATGTGTAGATACTAGTTGTATAATTTCTATTTCTATGAGGGGCAGAAATAGAAATTAAAACATAATGGTTAAAGTTGGTTTTCATTCCTTTTGAACTTCCACAACCTTTCAGCTTTGAAAACCAGTAAATAGAAATCAAAACCAACAATGGTTAAAGTTGGTTTTCATTCCTTTTGAACTTCCACAACCTTTCATTTTTGAAAACCAATAAATAGAAATTAAAACCAATAAGTAAACCCGCAGGTATGACCTCCCTTGGAATCCCATAAAATATATTCCATTTTATGGTGGTGCAGAATACCATGATTACCATCATTATGTTGGAGGACAAAGCCAGAGCAACTTTGCATCCGTGTTCACCTACTGTGATTACATCTATGAAACTGATAAGGTCGTTATACAATTAGTTTTAATTATTATTTGAAGTTTTTTGGTTTGACCTAACTGATTATATTGTATCATAATAATGTTATTATTTGATTTATGTCATTAGGGCTACCGGTATCAAAAGAGGCTCCTCAAGCAGGTAAACACTGCAGTCTTTTGTCTTTTTATTTGTGTTAGAGTTTTGCTTGGCAACTTGTTTAAGTTTCCCTCCACATCTTTCCTTAGAAAGTGTTGGTGCTCCGTCCAACATTTTATCTCAGTGAGATGTTGATTGAGGTGGAGTTCGACTACTGCTTTTTTAGTTGATTTTTGCTTTTTTAGAATCTAAAAACGCTGATGCGTTTGTTATGCAAAAAGTTTTGAAGTTCTTTTCAAAGTTTTGCTTTTTGATGTGAATTTGCCAAGTTACCCTTATGGTGTTGTGGAATTTCACAAATTGTTGAGGGTAAAATCGTCTTTGCACAATTTTGTTGAGCTTTCCAAAAAAAAATCAAATTAATTGAATGGCTATAAACTCAAAACATAACCAAATTTGTTTTCAAAAAAATAAATGATTAAAATAATTTTGATAATTTTGGACAGACTCTCTTGTTTAGAATTTCTTAAAGGCTATCAATTTTTTGAAAATTCCAAACTTCCACTCTTTGATTTTATTAACCGAACAAAAGAATCTTCAAAATACCTAACAAAACAATACTCTCCTTGTCCAGAGGCTCGACACAAAAACAAACCTCCCTATCCAGAGGGCAACAAAATAAACATTGTCAGTGTCTATCTGACAATGTTGTTCAAGATAATATAGTTCAAACCCCTATTCAAGATGAGGTAATTGTTTCTGAGGAACAAACTCTACAACCTCAACCTTGAGAATCTGTGCCATTAAGGCGATCCACTAGAGAAAGGAGATTTGCATTTTCAGATGATTATATTGTATATCTCCAGGAACATGAGGTAGAAAATGGAATGTCGAAAGATGATCCAATTAACTTTCGTCAAGCCATGGAAAGTTCTAACTCTCACAAATGGATAGAAGCCATGAATGAAGAATATAAGTCTATGCAAGACAATAAAGTTTGGGAACTTGTCTCATTACCAGTTGGTGCGAAGCCCGTAGGTTGTAAATGGATATTTAAAACCAAAAGGGATTCAAATGGTAATGTGGAGAGGTATAAGGCACGTCTTGTAGCCAAAGGCTTTACTCAAAAAGAAGGAATTGACTTTAAAGAAACTTTCTCTCCAGTTTCTTCGAAAGATTCTTTTAGGACAATTATGGCGCTTGTTGCATATTTTGATCTTGAGTTGCATCAGATGGATGTCAAAACAGTTTTTCTTAATGGTGACATTAAAGAAACAATTTATATGGTGCAGCCAGAAAACTTTGTGTCAGGAGACCCAAAGAATATGGTTTGCAAATTGACTAAATCCATCTATGGACTCAAACAAGCTTCTCGTCAGTGGTACTTCAAATTTCATCAAATTCTTACTTCGTATGGTTTTGAAACTAATGTTGTTGATGAATGTGTGTATCACAAGTTCAGTGGAGTAAACACATATTTTTGGTTTTATATGTTGACGACATATTGCTTGCCACAAATGATATAAACTTATTGCATGACACCAAGAGATTTCTATCTAAGAATTTTGAAATGAAAGATCTTGGTGATGCTTCCTTTGTATTAGGAATCGAAATACTCCGAGATCGTTCTCGGGGTATTCTGGGATTATCACAAAGGAGCTATATCGAAAAAATACTCATTAGATTTGGCATGCAAAATTGTAAATCAGGTGAAACCCCGGTTGCTAAGGGAGACAAGTTTAGTCTCAGCCAATGCCCGAAGAACAGTCTTGAAATTCAAGAAATGCAGAAGATTCCTTATGCCTCGGCTGTAGGGAGTCTAATGTATGCTCAAG